TGACAATAATCGCCCGATATCGTCAGAGAATCCCATTTCATTATTGATTTGGTTAAACTTCACTAATTACGACTTTGAAAATTCAGCTCGAAACTAGTCACTTGTATTGAAAGAATTTCAGTCCATGATGGGAAGTAGATCCATACTAAAACGATCTCGACATACTTTAAATTAAGCATGAGATCATAATAAATCTCCATAGAAAGTCTATGAGATAACACTATTACTTGATTTGGTCATAATAACAGTTTTCTGTATCATATAAGATGATCTGTTTAAAACTTTAGTGAACCATTCTACATTGAAAATCAGAATCCAATCAAAAGGTTATTACTAGTCTGATACATACGAGATATGGAAATATGCAATCGAAACCATGGTTTAGGCGAATGTAGTTCATGATTATTAAATTTTGCTGGACCAATTAGATGGTGGAGTAATGCACCGTAACACCAGAGACCACACCATACACTTTAAATCAATTTGCTTGTATTTATAACCACCGTATTTATATATTTACTTTCACAACTTAAACATTACTGTTCTCATTGATTTGCAAAATATTTCTGAAAATATTAAACGTGAAAGTTTCCTCTATAATGAATGTATAATACAATGAAATCGCATACCAATCTTACCATTTTCCGTTTAATATTATTCTTGAAAACTCAGAAAGTAATTCAAATTAACAATAGAAATAAAAAGCATCAAAATACTTGACACTTGTTTAGAGAGAAAGACATTTTAGCTGAATAATCAGCTTTTTCCTTAAGGTATCTGCTACCTGGATGTGGCGGTTGAGTTTGGCCGCCATGATGACCCAATCTGGTTCTATTGACTGGAACACTCGTTCTTTTAAGGCCTACTATGTCAAACAGACAGGTTGGAGAACAGTAAGACTTAAGCAGTAACTTCAGGTATACATTCACTTGAATTCTTTTTATATTAACTAAGATTAAATAGATCAAAAACGACGACTTGTATTTATTTACATTTTAATGCATGAAAGTTTTTTTCCTGTCGATTAGTCAACATTCGTTTCTTTACATAGTAAAATCATTCTAGTTTATATTTTTCTAGGCCTATTTTTGTTTGATTCACTTTTAATCTTCCTCTATTCTTCCATTCAAGTAAAATTTCTTATTGTGAAGTGATTATTGATTTATGTCTTAAAAATTACTTAATATGGTTTCGGGCATATAACTACTGATGGGCTTTTGAAGCTGTAAATCACGGACAAACTTTGATTAAATAGCCATTCAAAACCGTGACTCACTCAACAGATATTTTGTGCATAGTACACCCATTCACTTAAGATATATATAGGCCTACTTAATCAAATGATCGTTGAGAATTACTGTATCGGTGTAAGCACATAAAAGAAAAGTTGACATTGAAAAATTGTTCCATCCTGTGCGGCCAAGAGCCAACTAGTTTATTAACAAATCTGAAAACTTAATCCCATTTAGTTCATAGGTTCTTGCTACTAAATAATACCAAAGCAGAACAAAACAATTCTTTGATGATCAATTGTTTTCAATAAGTTTTCAGTTAAAACAACTGGAGACTAAACGCGTGATGCTTTTCATGCACAACTCATGATTTTACAAATAATATATCAAACTCCAATAAATAACAACCTACTTTAGTATATCCTTCTTACTATAACATTATTTAACTATTTTTCTAATCCTTAACTGAATGTTATGTGTGATCTGCAACAAAAATGTATTTAATGTAATGATTAATTAACTGAAAGAAACTTGGCGACATTATAAAACAACAGTTTATAGTATACTACTTAATTCATTAAAATAGTTTTTGGTTTTATACGCCACCTTTTTATAGAAATGAATGTTTACTGAATCACAAATAGATTGATCTGGAAAAATTTACGAATGCTTGTTTTCTTCAAAGAACTGAACTAGTGTTATGGATTAATGGATTTGATGACATTGAATAGGTTTTGATTTGTTTATAAGCAATGTGAATGATAAATAATTTCTCAGGAGAATGAAATAACTACTCAAATCTCCTTTCTACACAATCATCAGAATTAACAGAGATCATAGGCAGCTAGCTAAGGGACTAGATAGTTTTCTGGTAGGAAATCACATACAAATAATTAGAAATAAACATAAACAAGAGTAGACATCTTAGATGATTGTACAATGTGAAATATTTTGACTACTCATTAGCCAACAAAATAGGCATCTAATGGTTGGGCTTAATTCTTGCTCATTACACCAGTTGAACAATTTATAGATTAAAATTTCATTGATTTTCTCAATAGACTTGACAAGAACCTAATCTGTGGTTTGTTAATTCTTCTAAAATAAAAGAATTCATACTTACTTCATAAATTCTAATAAAACTCAGAAAAAAATCAATGCTTATTGGTCACAAACAGCGCATTATTCATATTCAAGGTTATTCAAAATGGCGTTCTGATTAGGAACTAAGAAGAGCAATTTCAGGTCAATTTAAAAAGAAAGTGGAAATTTTTTCTAAGTATTTTAAAGAACATTTATCACTTATGAGATTGAGGTAATCCTACCAATACACCTAGAAAAAATATCTAATTTTTATATGATTTATAAATTTTCCTATGATTACAAATGTTTCCTGTATCTTGAAGGAAGAAATTTGTTTTCATGGTTGATAATTATTTTTCATCATGAAAATTTGTAGGGGTTTTTAGTTTTTCAGCTAGTCTTCGATACTATCCATGTTATTTTGTTGAACAGCGGCAACATGATGTATGATATATTGTTCTGTTATCTTGAGACAATGGTAAACTGTCCATTGATTAGATTACATGTCCGTCTCTAAATGAACATACTTTCTGATCATTAAAAGAAGTATCAAAGATTTCCATTGTGAAAATTAAAACTACATATAAGTGGACAATACTTTTTCCAATTAGATCGTCATTGTGTAATAGTTAGCTGAATTTTTCTCTGAATTAAAAAGAAAATTGATAACAGACTGAATAACTTTGTTTTACAATTCTGATTATGCTGAATAGTTTGTTTATTTGAAGGCTGGAATGATTTATTATACTACTGTTCTGAGACATATTTCATAGATGATTTAAGCAAGTTATCATCTGAAAATTGTATTAAAGACTGAAAAATGATACTAGGCAAAAGGTAACTCTCAGTAACCATTCAAACTGTGAAATTTTATCACGAGTATTATCTTTGAAAGAACGTTTATGTTAAAAAGTTTAAATGCTTGACCTTCAGCCACTGGATGTATGGTTTGAACACGGAATAGCCTACTTTGGTTAAAAGACCTTAGTTATAGCGTGTGATACAGAGTTGTGTACATGGATAAGTACTTGACTATAGAGTTTGCAAAGTGACTTTTCTGTTGATTTGCATTTGACTTCTTTTCATGAGTAATAAAATTTAGGTGTCTCATCGTGAACGGATGCCAAATGGAGGAACTTTGGAACCAGGTAACACTCGATAGGAGATGCATTCTAATCAAGAACTTTCAACCATTACTATCTATAGGAGTTAGCTCAAGACCATCAGGCCGCCAGATGTACCAGTAGTCACCAAGTTGTAGGCCACTGGTAAGCAATTCCAACTTGACATAACTCGTGGTGAAGGTGCACTGCTGAGGAGTCCCATACTAGGATGAAACGGTTGTCAAATGCTTCCAGGTTTTCAATGTTGGTCTAGATTACATCGACTTATGAATTCAACTGTTGAAAGAAGAGTAATTATCTTATTCACAACTTATTGTGTTTTTTTAAACGAATTACAAGATTTTAGTACACATTCAAACAGACAGATCGAAATTGATGTGTTTAATATCTTCAAATGATAAACATTATTTTATATATAGTGAAAAGAAAAATTATTAAAAGTCAAAGGACAGTTGAAACATAGTTTGTTATAGTTCATAGAACCTTTTCACTAATGAATAATGACAATTTCACATCTAATTGTGAATCTATGAATTTTAGATTTAGAAACAGATGAGAAATTATTCAATTATTGAATTAAAATATAACAATTTATATTTTCAAATTATTTTCAGTTGATGATATTAAATTATTAATCTATTAATATCACAAGGAGTTTTGTAGATGTTACAGTAATTTTAATCGTTGAGATCATGTGTCAATTGAAGCTAGATCACCATGGAAAATGTGGAAGCACTAGACAACCGTTTCGTTCTATTATAGGACTGAACTATTACAGTTATTAATTTAGTGTTTGTTTTGGAGGGGAAATTGTTTAAAAACTAGTTAATAATTAATGTCATACTGAAATATTCAATTATGATCAGCATATTAGTCAAATCATTAAATATATCCATTGATGATATTACATATATAATAATATATCTATATAATATTATTTAATAACAAAACTTATTAGTGTAAGATGCTTTAAAATCATTGTCTTATAATTATATGACAAAATTGATATTTTCTCTATGTAGTGATTAATATAATTAAAGATTCCTATGATGATGAATATCAGTCATGATATTATTAAACACTAATAGCCTTCCATCAAAACTATAATAATAATAATGTTATCAAATATTTGTACAATGATCTATTCAGAATATAAACATTATTGAATTAAAGATTTGTAGGAACCAATAAATAAATAAAATTATTTTCAAAAAAAAATTAGTTTTATCATTGAGTAACATTCGTTTGGAGAATTCTAGACAAACCGAGTAATACTATTTATTAAACTGGAAGATTATCTTTTAAATTAGGATCCTATTACACTATTCATTTGATCATCTACACTGAATTAAATTTCTAATTCAACAGATTCTGTTTAATAAAAATACTTCAATGTTAATAAGTTCCAAATTACTTTAATAATATTTCATCTTACTTTTAAGATATTACCTTCTATCAACTTATTCAGTAGTCTGTATAAAATTAGCATATAAAAAAACAGTAGATTTGTCATTTTCAATATAAAAATGAAAAAAAAACGATTTTTTTTCCTTTCACTTACTATACTTCCAATCCATATTTTCAATAGGTTTTGTTTTAAATATTTATTCATAGAAATTGTCATGTCAATTGTTGTATATAAATAGAGGGTTATCCAATTGTTAAAGTAATCATTCAATATAATACATTGAATAATAATAATTATTATTAATAAACTATTTCTAATTAGCATTTTATATTGAACATTTTGGTCTGTCAAAATATGATATAAATAAATATTATGTAATAATATCATAATTAATCAATCTATATCATTATTATTACTATTAGTAGTAGTGGTAGTAGTAGTATCATCATCAGCATCATCATTGTCGAAATTGAAACTACATGGAATATCATTCTAAATTATTTTCAAGTTTTCAATTTATTATCATTAATAAATTCATCAATATTGATCAATAGTAATTTCAATACATCCAATATAAAGTCAAAATTTATTCTTGGATCTTATTTTTTCTGGAACATTAATATTTTTTTACTTATTTATTTTTTATTATTTTAAAACAAGTAACGATTCTTTTTCTTATTTGGAAATTCTTCTCCTTACTTCAGAGATTGATTGATCGTTGTTTCATTTTGTATAATGTAATGTTTTGTATATAATTCATATATAAAATCCTCTATTCTAACCAATAAAAAGTGAGAATACTTATTGATCAGATTAAATCATATTAGGTGAAATTGTAGGCGTGTCTCAATTGTACCACATTCACACACACAAACATGCTTAGAATGTATCGATGATAATTATATATTATCTATGTATATATTAAGCAGACATGATTGTGCATATTTATGTGATTAAGTGGCTATATGAGATAGTGATAGGATCAAAAGGGGAACAGCCTATAAAAAATTTTTAAAAAATAAAAATTCAGTACAGAGTATATAAATCAACGAATAGAATGTTATTTGTACTTCCGCTTGGGTTATTACTAATCAGATTCATTGATATTTGATATATTTTCATTGAGACTTTCCCTCTCCACCCCCAAAGGCTTACTACCTTGATAAAACAGAGATAACAAGGTAAGACAACGAGAAGGGGAGATAGTGAGAATCAAAAATATCCAGAGACTAATTTAATTTCATATGATGATGTTAAGTGATATTAAGCTCATTGTATGTGTTTACCTGTTCAAGTTGTAGTGGTTCAACTTGTTAACTCGTTGCCATGGTACTTATTTCGGATTACGTTTTTATTATTTGCCATTGTTTATTTTTCCAAAAAAATATGTTTCCGGAGCCTCTTGCCAATAAACTATAATACAGTTGAAACATTCTTCATTATGTAAGATAATTATTCACCTTCAGGTAATTGAAACTAAGATAAACTAAAGTTAAGTGCCAGTCAAAAGATGAATTTTAAAGGAAAAAGAAGTAAGGAAATATTCAACATCCTGTTTAGAAACAATGTTCTTGAAAACAAACCAAGAGCTCAATTATCATATGTAATCACACATAAGATTTTATTGTGTAAGAAAGGTTTAAAATACGCTTATAAATTATGTAGTTTGAGCAGATGATTAACTCCGCCTGTAGCTCCTCTGGGGGTTACTGCCGGTCCCAAGCCCGGGTAAAGGAGGAGGGTTGGGCATGGGGTTAGCGACCCCATCCCGTAGAAAATCAACTCGCTAAAAAAAACGCTAACCAGAAAAATCATTCAAACCTTTCAAACTCTGCCCTGGGAGTAGAAGGAATAATTATGACGTCTCATGATGAAAGCTGAGTTCCTTCGGAAGTCATGAGGCCGATGCGCCTTCTAACAACCAGAACGACAATTTTTATAGGTACATGGAATGTCCGAACAATGTGGGAGACCGGAAGAGTTTTCCAAATCGCTGCAGAAATGAGAAAATACAACCTGGAGGTGCTTGCAATCAGTGAAACACATTGGATGCAGGTTGGACAACAACGACTGTCTTCAGGAGAACTTCTGTTATACTCCGGTCATGAAGAAGAAAATGCCCCACATACACAAGGAGTTGCATTGATGCTGTCCAGAAAAGCACAAAATGCACTTATGGGATGGGAATCTCATGGACCAAAGATCATCAAAGCCTCCTTCAAAACAAAGAGAGAGGGCATTACAATGAACATCATCCAATGCTATGCACCTAACAACGACTACGATGAAGACGCTAAAGACCAATTCTACGTCAGATTGCAGTCGATCTTCGAGAAATGCCCAACCAAAGACCTGACCATTCTGATGGGAGATTTCAATGCCAAGGTTGGAAAGGACAACACTGGATACGAAGACGTCATGGGACAACATGGACTGTGAGAAAGCAACAAAAATGGTGAGAGATTTGCAAACCTATGTGCCTTCAATAAACTGGTCATAGGTGGCACTATATTCCCACACAAACGCATTCACAAAACCACATGGACTTCACCGGATCACACTAGGCAGAAAAAATCTACAATATCAGCATCAACAAAAAGTTCAGGAGGACGATGGAGGAAGTGAGAACCGGGAGACGAAATTGAATGAATTAGGTTAAATTTTCTTGACAAATTATCCGTTTTTTCCTGTAGGAGTACAAACGTGATTCGCTAATGAGTAGCTGTCAGATAACTGTACGTAAGAATAAAAATAGGATAGCAGCCAATACTATCCCGTCAGTAATAGTAGAGGTTAGGTGTTCGTGCGCTAGACCGTAAGTCCTGAGTTTAATCTCCACCTGCGGAATAGTAGGTGTTCGCTTCCGAAGTGTTTCTTACTAGGACGAAACGGCCGTCAAGTGCTTGTGGGATTTCAGTCGTCATCTAACTTATATCGGTTCGTGATTGCAATAAAATCAGTGTTGAATTCTTGACAAACAGTGAAATAATCGCTAGATCATATCAAGTCAAATACAAGTGAATGTAATGTACTGTCCTGATTTAAGTCATAACCCGACACAACCTACATATTTGTTATCCACATGCGTCTAATTCAAGAAGTATGTATAATCCGATTACAACTCAGGTTTTATCGATCCAAAGGCGGGCTGATATTGTGGCTATTATTATGAATAGATGCCTACGCGATTTACCTGAACTTCTGATAGATGAACATTTCTTGTCTTTCCATTTATTCTGTTATCCATATACTTGGCTTTGTCAACTACTCACGTGTGTTGCTGATTATGTTTTATGCATGAGGGTATGTAGTATGTGTCTATCCACTTCCTGTATTTTTTAATGACCTATAAAATTGACTCACTTTACTATTCTTTGAGTAAGTGGTTTGCCGAACAGCGATACTGGGTTTTTGTTTGACTCTCTACCACTCAACACTAGCCTATCTGGAATGTACTTATCATAAACACGATTCGTATTTCACGTTTGAAATACCATTGTTCAGTGTTAAGTCGAAAGAACAATTGCGAAATTAAGAAGAATTTATATTTCATTAGCGTCAATATCTCCTTATGACAACGGACGCTAAAAAATAAACTTTTATACAATCGATAAGATTGGCTTCTTTTATATATTTCATATTTGCGATTGTAATCAATTAGTGAATCCAAGATTGTTAAGATTACAATTGATTGACAGAGTTAAGTATTTTCTTCTATTTTGTCAGTTTCACTCACTGAATAATAAACTTGGTTAAAAATTATTGATATTGCACTTAGCACAAAGATTTACATTGTGTAGTACCAGTTCATATGTTAGGCCCATATACTTTATTCTAGTTACTGGCCAAGCCAATTCACCTGTACATTGAGTCATCTTTTGATCTTGTTAATCATTTGCTTATTAACCTTGAGTACTTTTTATATGAGCGCATATGTGTACACTTCGTATCTTATTCATCATATGTCTGTCACTCATTTTTGCCTGCCTATAAATGTTAGTTAACGCTTGCTTAAAATGAGTTGGCTTCCCAGCCATCTCCAATACGCATCATCTTTGCTTCGCTTGCTTACAGTTGCTCATGTGCTTACAACTTTCTGGTCTGCATCGATTATCAATAAAAATGTGGTTGCTGCTTCCCTTTGTCTTCTGATATTATACACCGTTCAGATTGTTATAATAACGGTTATCAAGACGATCGATTAACGAAGCACTACACTACATATTGGTAATCCCGACGTACGAACACGCAACACTATTGGCGATCCCGAATTACGAACGCGAAGCAAAGTTGGCAACCTCAACGTACGGCTACATATTGGTTAGCCCTACATGCGAACACGTAACAAAATTGGATGCCTCGCCGAACGAACACTCAACATATTGGTTAGCTGTATTTGGAACACGCAACAGAATTGGCGACCGCAACGAGCGAACACAAACCAAAGATGGAACCGTCGACGACATATTCTGTTATGATTCAAATAATCATCATATGCTCATTATTACAATAATGTCATATAATCATCTAACGTGGAATTATTATTTTTGTTCGTATTGACATTAAACTATGACATTTACGCAGTCATATCACTAATCGAACAAATTATAATGATATGGACATTACACGTTATGATATTCGAAACTCACTGGATTATTTTTATTATCCAATGACGAAAATTTTTCCTGATTCGGGTGAGTTCGTTCCAATTTTTTTTAATGTCATTTTCGGCTTAATATTACACTCTATCATAGACATAAGTTTGGAGTCATACTCCCGATAGTAGGAACTTATGTTCTCGATAGACAACTAATGTTCATTCATTTCATTGGTACGCAGCAACCATCGTTTCCTACACTTGCAGCTACAACCGAAACCGAACTTCCGCAATTTTTGTTTCGCGATGATCCCCACTTTAATGTCTATACATAAACCAAGTATTTGACGCCGCATTACCAGCCGATTAGTAATGATTATGTTCATATTATTTATTCATTCACATGTATATCTGAATGCTGCATCATCCATTACCGATAATCACAATTCGATTACTGCAATTAATATTTTATTTCCATTGTACTGTACACCAGAACATAGAGTTTAGAGTTAGTCTCTCAAAGTTACACTCTTGTTCGTCACATCCAAGTCAGCCTCACTCGCCGCCATCGA